CTCTGTCGTTTCAGGGTGTCCTGTAACTCCCTGCACAGCGAGGGGCTGCAGGACCTTACCCACACACTGGCGCGGCTGGCGTCTCTCAGGGAGCTGGAGTACGTATCGTCCGCAGCCGCCCCGCAGTTAAACGAGCAGCTGAATCCAGACGAAATGTGAAAGATATCTGACCTTATTTTATCCGTGTTCATTAGGATAAGAAACAACGGCCTCAGTTTGGAGGCGATCGAAAGCCTAGTGAAGGAGCTGACCCGCTGTCCTGAGGCCCTAGTTTTGAGGTGAGACAGACTCGGGGTCAGTAGGCCCAGGGAGGCCCTGTGTTTCCAGATAACGATAAGGTCATTGACCGATGTGGAAGTCACCAACTGAAGGGTGTGTTTGTGTGCGCAACTGTTTCTGATGACAGACTAGATCATGATAGTGACCTGCCAATCGCAAAAAGAAAAGCCAGCTTTGATGGCCAAGTCCTCCTTCTCAGTGGACCCCGGCCAGCAGGTGCTGGGTTTGCTGTCTGACTCGGTTGCTGGTGACTCAGTGTGCCTGTGCTGCTGGAGTCTCGGACAGTCCACTAACGCCCCCGATCCCTCTGTGTCAGAGCTGAAGAGCCATGGATACAGGCTGGGGAGGCTGTTTGTTTCGTCAGCAGGTGCCTGAGCGTCAACTCAAACATCCAGGAGATCAGGTGAGTCTGTCGCGTCCTAATGATGAAGACAGGTACGTACAAACTTTCAAATGCATTAGAGGCACCACGATCTAGTCTTTTTCCTTAAGTGTCATACATCCATGATTTTAAATGCCAGTTTAAATTACAATCCCTGCAACATGTTAAGCATAGAGGAACTCGTTTTCAGGCCTACACTGTGCACACCTGGGGTTCTGATGTGGTTGGAGTAAGCTGCAGTCTATAATTGGGATTTAATCGCCACTTAATACCTGCTGTCCCTTTTCAGGGTCCACAGAAACACTGTCTCTGTCACTGTGGAGAGCTGCAGTGCTGGGGACAAGGCCTCTGCTTGTGACAGGTAAAGCAAAACCCCAGTCGATTAAAGGAACTCATTGCTCTCCCAGATATCTAGGTAGGTAAATGGGTTAGGTCCCCTTTTCAGGCCATAAATGCCCATGGGGGAATGGGGGGCAAGGGCCACCATTTTTCTTGGCCATCCGACACTGGAGGTGAAAGTGATGAGATCAGCATCACGCTCCAGCCAGCTTATCGCCCCCGGAATGATTGACCCCAGTATTGGGGTGCACATGAAACACAGCCCAAGTGGACCTGGGAGCCATCTGGAAGGAATTAGAGCTCCATCGCTTGCCCCTACCCGGGATTGAACCCGGAACCTTCCATTTTGTCTTGACACTGAAAGTGAACTGGATTTGTTTACCTGGCCCAGAAAATAGAGGTCAGGAGCTAGATGCCCTTGCTGTCTGAGCTACC